ATCGATGGGGTGCAGCGGAAGCTCACAGAGCAGTTCAAGTGCAAGTCACTTGGAGAGGCAATGTACTACCTGGGAATGCATATTGAGCGGGATACTGAACGTGGCTGGCTCAAACTGCATCAGGGACAGTACATCAACACCTTGGCTGAGAAGTACTCTCTGCAGGAAGAACGGGAAGTGGTCACACCTTTGCCTTCCGAGTTCAAACTCATAAAGGCAGCTGAAGGAGAAGGAGTTGAGAGTGAAGACCAGAGGCAATTCCAATCCATGGTCGGGAGCCTACTCTACGCTGCTGTGCATACTCGGCCTGACATCAGCTTTGCTGTGGGACAGCTGGCTCGAGTAGTGCAAAATCCAACAGAAGAGCAGTGTGGTGCAGCGGAGAGAGTGGTGCGCTACCTCAAGTCATACCCTACAGTGGGAGTACAGTATTCAGCCTCTGCTCAACTCAGGCAAAAAGGAGTTGAAGTCCTTCAAGAGAAGGGGGAGCAGCTCGGAGAAGGAAAGGTGTTCCTTTCCTGTTTTGCTGATGCCACGTGGGCTTCTGAGCATGAGGATTCATCATCAGTTGGTGGATACATCTGCATGGTGGGAGGTGGGCCTGTAAGTTGGAGGTCCAAGAAGCAGTCTGAGACGGCACTATCTTCAGTGGAATCTGAGTACATGGCGATGTTTCATGCGGCAAAAGAAATCATCTGGCTAAGGAGGCTCTTGAAGGAGATCGGCCATGAACAGACTTGTGCGACACCTCTGTTCAGTGATAGCAAGGGAGCCATTGCCATGGCACGCAATGCAGTTCTTCATGGGTTGAACAAGCACATGAGGATCAAGTGGCATTGGCTGCGGAAGGAGGTGAAGCTTGGGACACTCGATCCGATCTACGTGAAAACTCAGCAACAGCCAGCCGACTTCCTTACCAAGCGGCTAGCTGAAGAGCCACACTGGTGCTGTGCGAGGATGGCGGGAATGTCCTTGAACTAGAGACGGCGAAACAAGCCGACAGTCTGAGGGGGAGTGTGTTGGTGCATATTCATTTGCACGTCATCCTGTCGTCTGTTCGCATCATTTCGTTTGCATGTGTTTTGTGTGCTACGTTGTTTGTATGGTTTGTTGGGTTTGCATGTCTTTGTATGTTCATCTTGTGCTTGTGCAGATGTGCTAGGATTGTGCATGACATCGAGCACATTCCAACGAGCCAAGAATTGTTGGAATCGGAACACATATGAAGAAGTTACGAAGAAATGTTTGATGGATTTGTTACAACTCGTTGGAAGTCCTTGTCAGCTGCTACACCAAAGTTGGAGAGCCCTATAACGAGGAGGGACCAGCATGTGTGGGACTTTTGTCCCCACCTTGCAGCTGCAGCATTTGGGGTTTGGAGGCCAACCTGGCACAGTGTGAATTTTGTCTTGCCAGGCTGGCTGAACCTGAGGATGGGGAGTCAAAACTTTGACTCTTGTCATGTTCTTGACCATGGGCCTCCAGGGTCCTTCCTTTCATCCTTCCCTTCCTACCCCACCTTCCAACTGTGCTTCAATGCCTTTTCTATCATGCCTCTGATCTTGTAAGCTTCAATCATAGTGACTCTGAGGACTGTCAACTTCTCCTAGGGCAGATTACCCCCCAGTGCGCCAAACGCCATAGCTCACTCGTTAAGCTACGGAATCGAGTGATTCAACTTTCAGTGGAAAGCTGACGCTGCCAGCTACAACATATCCGATTTTCATATCGTTTCACCGATTGGGGTTTTGGATATAGCTATTCGAAGGTCGCGAGTTTTCTGGGCGTCATAACGAAGTGCTGCAGAAATTTCCAAGGAGCCATTGAATCATCTGCTTATAGCCTTCCCTAACAACAGCCTATCAGCAACAAGTTGAATCAAGAAATGTCATGAAGATTTGACGACGCTATGGCGGTTTGCCTGGCAGGAGGTATAGCAGCCACTATAGTCTTGGAAGTACAAACTTAGCAAGAAGAATTCGAGAGGGAGATGGTTCCCAGCCTTTACATACCCCAAGAGCCGAGGTCCAGGTTGGTGGTACACCACCAGAGAGTCCCCAATCACGAAGAGTCTCGAAACGAACCCTCCAAGGGGCTACACCAAATGAAATATAACACTACACGAAGTAGCGTTACTATTTTATCCGCGTCCCTTGGGCTTGAAATCTTGAGCTCTTGGTCTTGGTTCTGCAAGATAAATTCTTCTTGAGTTGATGGGGGCTTGCTGCACACACCTGCGATGCGATGGACACTTCACATTCGACAAAATAGAAAAACACATGCGATACCCAAACGATGACTTGACATGCAAGTTGTAAAAACTCGCTAATGTCTTGACCGACACAAACCACATTGTGATACACCATTCAAACACACACACAAGCACTAGATATCAATCACATAGACTCACAAGTCATTCCATGCCATGCATGCACACACACAAACAAGGACGACAAGCCGAGTGCAAGCCATAGGGTTGCACCAACAAACTCCCCCTCGGATTTTTGGCCTTAGAATCTGCTCCCCTTAGTTCAGAGCCAATGTCAGTCGGTGATCTGTAAGTTGGATGTTGAGCGCGTTGCTGTCGCCAATCAGCAGCAAGTTGAATCAAGAAAGTTCATGAAGATTTTATGACGCTATGGCGGTTTGACTGGCAAGAGGTATAGCAGCCACTATGGTCTTGGAAGTACAAACTTAGCAAGAAGAATTCGAGAGGGAGATGGTTCCCAGCCTTTACATACCCCAAAAGACGAGGTCCAGGTTGGTGGTACACCACCAGAGAGTCCCCAACCACGAAGAGTCTCGAAACAAACCCTCCAAGGGGCTACACCCAGTGAAATGTAACACTACACGGAGTAGCGTTACAATTTATCCGCGTCCCTTGGGCTTGAAATCTTGAGCTGTTGGTCTTGGTTTTGCTAGATAAATTCTTCTTGAGTTGATGGGGGCTTGCTGCACACACCTGCGATGCGATGGACACTTCACACTCGACAAAATAGAAAAACACATGCGACACGCAAACGACGACTTGACATGCGAGTTGTAAAAACTCGCTAATGTCTTGACCGACACAAACCACATTGTGATACACCATTCAAACACACACACAAGCACTAGATATCAATGACATAGACTCACAAGTCATTCCATTCCATGCATGCATACACACAAACAAGGACGACAAGCCGAGTGCAAGCCATAGGGTTGCACCAACACAATACGCGTCTTCCAGTTGATGCACTCACGCTCCTTCACCAAATCATCGGGGTGCAGAACGACGAGCAAGCTCACCTTGACCCCTGGCGGGGGCTTGCACCTGCAATGTAGTAGGATGCCAACGTCAGTGCAAGCAGGGCAAATCGTAGGGCACGGCTGATCGGCAGACATCATCCCCACTCACTTCTTCACCAGAGGAATCACCATGACCTGCTTCTGCAGTATGCAGTCTGCGTAGGACGCCGCCAACGGCCAAGGAGGCTTCTTCGAGGTGACCCTCTGTGAAATGGCCCTCGATGGCACAATGAGGGGTTGGTCGCAATCTTTCGGGCTCAAAAACATGTTGGCAAAGCATCTGCATAGAAAGCGCATAGAGGATTCACAGGCTCAAAACAGCTTCTGTGAGGCGGGTTGGCGGCACAACCACAGTACTTGTCGGGTTTAACTGTTTTTTGCATCTGTAGTATGGCAGAAAAGCATTGAGCGACATTTTTTAAAGGTGCATTTCTGCCAAATTAGTCAACCGCAGACACAAATGGCCGATTGTTTGGATGTAACGATCTTCTACAAAAACGGGCTGCGGCAGAAGCATAGTGCAAACAATCATATTTACAAGGAAGTCTTCAAATAGGGTTGGCGGCAGAAGTGCCATGCTGTCTCTGCAGACTTCCGAGTACCCTAAATAGCACGCCGCTTCTTCGGACATGCATTTGAAGGATAGACTGCTACCGGGCAGAACAATAAACTGACCGAAAAGACCAGCAGGTACGCTATGCGTAAGAGTCCTACGACTTCTGCGGGACGGGTTGGCGGCACGAAATACAGTTACCGTCGGTGGGTCTTTAAGTTGATTTGCATCTGGGACGATGGCAGTAAGACATTGACCATCGGTTGCTAAAAAGCACTATTTTGCAAATCGGGTGAGGCGCAGACGCACTATGATGACCGTTTTGATTAAACGCTATTCTGGCAAAAAGGAATGCGGTAGAAGAATGGTGACGACAGTCGGTTTTAATAATGAATCTGCAGAGAGCGTTGGCAGCAGAAGGGACTAGTTGTCTCTGCAGACGAGAGGGCTGCAGAAACCAGAGGGAGCATATCTGTGAGAATCCTAAAACTACACGGAACGGAAAGACTCACGAAAAAGCGGCATTGATGAGAGGTTCATTCAGTTCGGTAAAAAAGTCCTTGGCCCTGTGGTAGTCCTCGCGGGTGAGTTGGGTGGTGAGTCCTCCACCAGAGACCTCAAGGGTAGCCACGGCCATTGCAGCAACTGTACTTGGGGATGCGTGAGCAACGAACAGCTAGGAGAAGAATGAGTGGTCATAAGTTGGAAAGGAGAAATGACGTCCAAAGCAGACCCCCGCTCCCAAGTCATTTTTTCTAGGAGGTGAGAGTCAGTTCGATGGGGTGCGTTCAGTATCGCAGGTGATCGCCAGATCTATCAACCACAATTCATGAAGCCAAAGAAGGTTTAGTGTCGACCGTGGGGGCCCATTTAGGCGACCACAGTCACCATGTGGCAGACATGTTACGAATAAGGACGGAGTCTAGGTGTGCTTAGGAGCTAGAAATACTCAAAATATAAATCCGAAATTCTGGACAGAAAAGTCGTCTCCACAAGAAACGTCGTCGACAAAACAATAGCTGTTGGAATGTCGCGAAACTCGGATATGTTGTAGCTCGTAATCTTAGCTACCGTTCCCAATTTGAATCACGTTGATTGATGAAGTATTCGCGATGCTATGTCTTTCGACGCATGGAGGGGTAAGCTGTAGGAGAAGAACTTAACTCAATCTCAAACTTCAATTAAGGTTCAAGAATCTCACAAGGAATTAGAGGAGCAAGAGAAAGGTTGGGATAGGAAGAGAGGGATGAGAGGGAAGGTCCCAAGAGAGTCCCCAACCAAGGAAACCCCAGAAGCAGAAAGATTCCCTCCCTATAAGAACCCCAACTTTGACATTTGTCCCTTCCCAACCAATCCATCCAAGTTGGCCACCCTTGCCAACCTAGTTTGGTTGTTCCCAACCATTTTGCAGCTGCTACAGTAGAGTGACGAATTTCCCCAACCCCTAATGGTCCCAACTCCATATAGAGTCACCCCACAACTTCACTTTGTAACCGCCGCAATTGTAACGAAAGCTCATGAACTTTGAATCTTCAGAGCTTTCACGTTCTTGCTCCGATTGAAGCGATTCTTGTTGCGTCAGAAAGATCTTCTCAAGATCTGTCATCACAAATACCTGCTCAAACAAAAAATAACACAGAACACATTCCCAAACTCCAGAACAGACCCCACATAAATGCTTGCACACATTCAAACCACACATGCAATTTTAAAACATGGGATGGGAGGCAGTCAGAATGTGATAGCATATGATGACATCACACAACAAGACAGTCGAAATATTGAGGTCACTTCAAACCTCGCTTGGCGCGCCTCTAAAATTTGCCTTTGGAGGCTCGGCGCAGAAACGTGCGGCTAATCTTTCTGTGAGGTTGCCCTATGGCAGGGATCGGACAGTAGATTTCGTTTCCGTGACCAATGTGCATGGCCATAGCTGTTGTGCGCTTCTTCAACCTTATCACCAGCAGCACCTTAAGTGGGAACAAGTTCTGTAGAGTAAAATAATAAAAATTGCCAGAAATGGATATTACGAAAGGGCCACAGCCCAATTCTGTAAACGAAAAGGGCCCAAATTTGAACAACATGTAGGCCTTGCATAGGGCTACCTCCAGGTCACTTCAAACCTTGCTAGAAATGACGCACAATTGTCCAAAAGGCACTATGTTTCATTAAGGGTTAAGGTTGGGAAAACAAAATCCCGTATGGATATAAAAAGAGGGCCACCGCCCAATTCCGTAAACCAAAAGGGCCCAAGTTTGAACTGGAGGTAGTTCCTGCATAGAGCTACCTCCAGGTCACTTCACACCTTACTAGAAATGACGCACAATCGTCCAAATGGCACTATTGTTCATCAAGGGTTAAGGTTGGGAAGAAAATACC